CATGGTTGTTCTTTATCAATTATCTCTTCTTTATCAGATGCCATCCCCTGAATAATTTGACTTGATCCCTCTGGTACTGAATCTGATGCTTTTTTCCTTATATCTTGAGGTAACCCTGTTAATTATTCTGGCCACTGATCTTGTAGTCCCTCACAAGATTGCTCCATTGTTTTCATGATGATGGTACAATAATATGAATGAATGGTCTCGATTTTACTGTTACATAACCCTTCATGAATTATTTATATGTTTTTATAATTAATAAATACCAATACTTGAACAAATAAAAAATGTAATGTAAATGCAAAAATACATAAATACAAAAATAAGAATGCAAACTATGCAATGCAAAAGTAAACATAAAAGTATGAATACAAAATAAAAATGCAAAGATGTAAAATGCAAATGCATGTATGAAAAGGTGTTACTCAAGAGTGATCATCTTAGAACAGATTTCATTGAACACAAAAGTTTCCGTGCATCAAACAAAACTTTTACATGTAAAGGATAGCTTTCACTCCTAACTTCTCTATTTCCCTTAAAAGCCAAATTAACTTCCACTCATGCTCAGGTGTGGAATTATCAATCTGTTTTAAGTCTCTCGTGAAGCCAGCTAAGTCCACCAGCTTATGAGCCACATTACTTGTTTGAACAACAACTTACTTCATGACGTTGTCTTTTTCCTTCATCTTCTGTGTTAATTCTCGGAATTGTAGACAATGTTGTTCATTTTTTCTTGTGAGAGAATCTTTGTGTTCAAGAAGTTCTTGTGCAAGATCTCCATAATCATCTAAACATTTCTTCAATGTCTTGTTCTTGGCTATAGTAGCTTTTAATTCAGTATCAATTTGATGCTAATGGATCTGATATGATGCTTCCATGTTGATTATAGCACTATTCAACCTTTGATTTTCGACTTGACACCTTTTCAATTCATTGATAGATGTATTGCGCTTTTCTTCTACAACTCGTAAATCATGAGAAAACTTCTTGGCTCGTCCTTCATTTATATTGCAATTCCTTTTCAGTTTGGTGACCCCTGTTATCCACTCTTCTGAGGTGTTTCCTATGCCAGCATTTTGAAAGGCTTGACTGATCAAAAAGAGAAAGCTGATGATGTAAATAAGTGTCGCATCCAGAGTCCTCGCAATTGCAAAAGAAAAAGAGCAAGTAGTTGTTCGGATCGACTAAAGAAAGTCATGCGATCAACAAAAACTTTGGAAGTGTTCCAAACTTCCATTTCAGACTTGTACCCTCATTTGGTTAAAGGACGATACATCACACCAAGACCAACGAAAGTACCACCAAACCCTTCTGCCCATTGCTATGATCAAAATAGCTTCTGTAATTTTCACTTGGGGTGAAGGGGCATTCAACAGGGAGTTGTTGGCCACTGTTAAAAGAAATAGAGACGCTTGTTGACAAGGGGGTCTTGACACAAGAAATGGTCAAGGAATGGAGGGCAACTAAGGACAATGACCCTGATCCTATTACACACCCAACATTAGAGGAATAATGATGCATAAACAAGTGGAAGTGTTATCTACCACTATAGTACCTTTCATTTTCAGCATCTTGTGTGAACTTTGTTTTGTTCATTTCTCTGATTTTGTGCAATAAATAAATTTGTGTTGCTTTTATGGTTATGAGCAAGAAATCAAATTTTAATCTTGAAATTTTTTAGTATCAAGTATATTAAATATTCTTTTAATTTTTCAAGAGTTATAGATCTTTGGCAAGTGGTAAAATTATATCTTCCATATCCCATCCAACGCCAATTACTTGATCCTTACAAAACCAAATCCTGACACTACATTTATTTGAGATTCTGAAGAAATGTCTCTACCTGTTTTTGAGACACCAACTCTAGATGTTTACCTTCTTGGGTAGAGTTGATTGGTTTATGATACTACCTTCCACCACATACATGACTTCATAAGTCACACTTTTGTCCTTTCAAATACAAAACCATCATATTGGTAAAACCAAAAGACTTCAAAAGAACCAAACTTTCAATTATCCGTGAATCTTCCTGCAAGATAAGATGAGATGAGGCATCATGGATCAATTTATTGAAGATAATTTTGAGTGATTAGGGCATACTCAAAGAAGAAAAAAGTGATTGATTTAAATAAATATATCATGCATTAATTACATTGTTTTCATGTAAATGAAAGTTAATCTTGAATATTCATCCCCCTGGAGATACCTCTTTTTACAAAGACTTATATGTATGAGACGACTGAAATTTGTGCACAGTTTAAGCATGCAATCTCATTGACATATCGCCCAAAGATGAATGGGGCATTTGAAAGAGCAAATAAGAACGTTAAGAGGATCATTACAAAGACTACTAAAACTTACAAGGATTGGCACGGGAAGCTACCTTCTGCCAAACCGAAAGAAAAGAAAAGAAGCCGAGAGACTTACCATCATCGGAGGCCTTCAAAACGTCACCAGAAACCTTCGGACTTCGAAGGTAAAAACTTAGATCTACTTATTTTGGGAGATTTTTAGGAAAAATAAAGGCTAGAATCGGCTTTAGATTGGAGAGATCTACGATTTGAGGTAACTTTTTATTTTTCGGCCACCGTGAATAGTGACCGGCGGTGGCCGGAATAATAACGACGGTGGCTGAAATAGTGACCGGCTCTCCCTCCGGTAAGGGGTTTAGACAGAAGGGAGAGCTTCTTTAGAGAGAGAAGCAAAATAAAGAAATGAGAAAGAATTGTCATTTTGGGCCAATTTTGGGGTATTTATACCCTCACCAAAACGACGTAGTTTTGGTGAGGGACCTCCATGTAATTTGGGAATGGGTAAACTATACGCGCAACCATTATTATTTTGACACTTTCTATTTTAGTCATTGAAATCAATTTATGATCCTTTTAATTCGGTATTCGAGTTTTATTTTATTTTATTTTAGTCTTATCCCGTATACTTACATATTTATGGTAAATAATATATTTAGCCCCTGTAATTTTATTAATTTTTATTTTAATCACTGATTAATAATTAATAGATAATTACAGTATTTGTAATTATATTTTTATGATAAATTCAAATTAGGCCATTAATTTATATATTCTATATTTTAATCCCTAATAGTTCGATAATTTTTATTTAATATACTTTGCAATTTAATTTTATAATTTTAATTTCTTTTATCATTATTTATTTACAATTTTTATTTCATTTTTATTATTACTTTCGATATTTTAAATTATTACTATCATTAAAAAATAATATTTATTTATTTTTAATATCAAAGAAAATGACAGTCTTAATATAATAGGATGTCTTATTCTGGTATTTTAAATAAATAAATATTATAAAAATTATAATTTAGTTTTATTTAAATTATTTTTTATTATGAAAAATTATTACATTTTTATTGTTTATTTATTTTTTAAATACTAAGAAAAGGCGGTTTTAAAATAATTGGATGTCTTATTCTGGTACTTTAAAAATAAATAAATATCGTGCTTATAAAAGTATATATTTATTTCATTATTTTTAAAATTTATTATATTCTTATTAATATTTATTTATTTATTAATATTATAGAAAAGACAGTCTTAAAACAACTAGATGTCTTTTTCTGATATTTTAAAATAAATAAATTTCATATTTACAAAATCCTAAATATATATATATAATATTTTCTTTAGAAATATCATATTAAATTTAAAATAACACGGTTGTAAATTAAATTCATATTCGAATTCTTAAATTCTATTATTAGAGACAATTTATAATCGACAGGTACCAATTTTGGGCGTTGTGGGGATGCTAATCCTTTCCCAAACGTAACCGACCACGAATCCCTTTTTTTACTAAAAAGAATAAATTTTTGGTTAAACACATACCAGTTTCTCTTTTAAAATGGTATTTTCTTAAAAAATATTTTAAAAGATGATTTTTAGGTATTCGACCTACCTAACCCAAAAGGTCGATGGCGACTCCCAAAACATTTCATAAAAACCATTTATTTATTCACCTTATTTTTCCCGCCAAGTAAAATTTCGTGCCCGGGCGAAAACCGGTTACGACAGAGGGGTTCAAGGATTATATTGGATTGAGTGGTTTGTTTGAAAATATTAATAATGAGAAGCATTTTTTCAAAATAAACGAACAACATACCTCGAAACTAGTTTCATTAGATGATATTAAAATTTTAGAACATAAATATTTAGATATATTTTCGTCATTTTTTAGTTTCGTGAAAAATCAATTAGAGGATAACAAAAAAGAGTAAAATGTGAAGTTTTGGTATCGATCTTATCGCGAATGATGATCGTTGATAGGCAATGTTGATCAAAAGCAACAATATATATATATTTAACGATTTATTGGTCTAGTGATCAAAAAAATTAATATCGAAGCTTTAGTGCTAAAATTAAAGTTTTTTAAAATTTATTGACCAAATCAATACATATATTAAAATTCATTTACTAATAATTATCTACCCTTAATTTTTTTCCGGTTTGATAGTTTATCTACCCTTAATTTTGTTATGGACTTTTTATTAAAAAATTGTTATCAATTTGATTTAAATTCAATTAAAAATAGCCTTATGAACTTGCTAACGTTAGTTATTTTGATTTTTTGTCAATTTTATAATTTTTATTTTTAATCATTTTTTTAATTCTTTTAGTAATTTAGATATTTTTATATAAATATTATTTTTAAATAATTTTATCAATTGATTTAATTTAATAAAAAACCAAAATTATAAAAACCAAAAGAAAAAAATTAAATATTAAGATGATATTTTTTTATGTTCTAAGATAAAAAAAATCATTAGGCCTAAAAAGTAAAAATCCAATATTGGAAAAGTTTATAAAAACTAATTTTGCAAACATATAAGGACCAATAATGTAACTTAACCTTTTAGATACGTAAGTAGTACAAAAAATAGAAACGTCAGTAAAACGGAGCAGCTTCCCACGGTTCCACTTGTTTATAAATCCCAGGAACACCCACAGATTTTCTTTACCTAATCTGAAACTAAAAACTGAAATTCCTTCATATCTCTTGCCGGCAAATTTTATTACTTTCTGTTCTTCTTCTCGTCTTTTCGGTGTTTTTGTTCTTTTTTTTTTACAATAATCTCCCTTCCTTCCCACCTGGAATAAAGCGGCGGCGATGGCCGGAGACACCCCTGGAGAGTTGACTTCTTCCAAGGCCAGCCACGGAGAGGGTGTCCTTGGGTTGTTAAAAACAATGAACCGCGACGAGGTTTTCGAAGCTTTATCTCAAGGGTTTTGCCAACACTGCGAAGCTGTTCTGGAGAAGCGAATTAATCAGATCTTGAATAGTAAGAGTCTTACCGGTTTTCTCTCTTTCTTTCTTTTTAGGGTTCATCGGCTCATAAATTTTGCAGGGTTTTAGTTCATATGCGACTATTTAATCCGTTTTGAGTTATTTTTTATTGTGAGATCAAAGGTGTTGTATTCTGGAGAAGACAAAACCTTGAACTTTTAACGACCGTGTAATCGAAAGATCCCTTAACAATTTGATGTTCATAACATTACTTTGATTGCACGGTATCTATCATGCCTGTTACTAGGAAAAGTTTGAAAGCTATTGATTCTGATATATGATGTTATCTCTGATTATTTGCTTTCCAGAAAGAGGTAGTGAAACATCTTTGTCAAATGGAGATGCCGGTGTGGCTTCGAATGTTACTCCGGTACCGGATTTGGGGACCGATCGTGCCCTGACCCCAGCGGCGAATTTCGATATATTGCTTAACGATGGACTTGGTGGAACTGTGGTTGACAATGGATTGTCCGAGGAACAAAAGGAGCATATCAGGTTCTCCCAAGTTGGTAGGAAAAAGGATTTTGTTCACACCGAGAGGGTCGATGGGAGACCGACGAATGTGCTAAAAGGGCTCGAGCTTCATACGAAGGTCTTCAATGCCAAGGAGCAGAACAGAATTGTGGAATATGTTTATAATCTTCAACGTATGGGCCAAAAGGGGCAACTTAGAGGTAATATTTTACCAAACTTAACCTTGCTTACCTTGATAATAAGCTTTAGAACTCGAATGATTCGGCTTGCCTATATGTTCTTTGAGCTAAAATCGAATGTCAAGGCATGGTGAACATGAAATTAGCCTAATATCTTGAGTATACAGAATGGTTGTAGTAGTAGTAATAATATCGGCCTTTTTCATTTGAATGATGTTTGCAGAACGAACATACACAGAACCGAGGAAATGGATGCGTGGCAAAGGTCGTGTTACGATACAATTCGGATGTTGTTACAATTATGCAGTGGTAATTTCCAACTCTTAGTTCTTTTCCCTCTCTGCTTTGCACGTTTTAGTCCCGAATTTCATGTTAATATTTGAACCTTTAAAACAGGATAAAAACGGGAACCCACCGGGAATCATTCGGGATGAAGAAGTTGATCCCTTGCCCCAGTTGTTCAAGCAGATGATCAAGAGGATGGTCCGATGGCATATTTTGCCTCCAACATGTATTCCCAATAGTTGCATCGTAAACATTTACGACGAAGGGGATTGCATTCCTCCCCATATCGATCACCACGACTTCCTTAGGCCCTTTTGTACCGTGTCTTTCTTGACTCAATGCAATATTCTTTTCGGTTCGAGTTTGAAGATTGTGAGTCCGGGAGAGTTCTCGGGAACTGTATCTATACCTTTGCCTGTAGGGTATGTCCTCTTAAGCTCTGCTTAGTTCTGACAGATTTGATTATTGTCTTTCCAAGTTCAAACCTAACGCTTGGTGTGCAGATCTGTGCTTATTCTAAACGGCAATGGAGCCGACATTGCAAAGCACTGTGTCCCAGCTGTTCCAGGAAAACGGTAACTGAGCTAAATCTTTTTCGATTAATCAGAAAATTTATTCGTCTCGAATATTCGTATACTCAACAATTTCAATGTGCTGATGTCTGTGCAGGATATCCATTACATTCCGGAGAATGGACGATAACAAACTTCCGTACCAATTTTCACCCGATCCAGAGTTACTGAGAATCAAACCATTGGTCGTTTCTCCTACGGTGAATTCTGCCCCGCAAGGCCATCATCAAAAGCGGATTATAAACTCTTCCTTTGTAAAGGCAATCGTTCAACAAAACCAGCACCGAAATGGCCAAGTAAGCAAGGACAAATCCGATCGAGAAACTGCGAAAACAACAAAGAACGATTCCTTCCTCGGAAACGATGATTTCCCTCCGCTCGGTGGAAACAACGATTTCCCTCCGCTCGGTAAAGCCAACAAAACAGGATCAAGGCGATGATGAGTTCTTTTCTTTTGGATAGATAGATCATGGAACAATTGAATTTAGTAGTGCTTCTCCTTCATGTAAGACTTGAATGCTAAACTTTAATATGTATTATTGTATCAAGTTGGGAATAATACACGGTTAGCCTTAAAGTTTGTATTTTATGCCAGTTTGATCTTTAACTCTTTTTTTAAGTTAAATTTAGTTCATAACCTTCAAAAAATAAAATTTAACCATCAATTTAGTTATGAATTTCCCCTCTACTTTAAGAACAATTATACTTTTCTACCCTCAAGCATATACTCTAGCTCCATCCCTGAATTTGAACAACTATTTTGTACTGATTAACTATATTATAAATTGTAAAGCTAATGATTTTTTTACTAGTTTCTTGCATATAAATTATTGAACTATTAATCTTCCATTTGGACTACTAGGTCTCAAGTTTATTAAAATAGAAGACCAAGTTCTGACAAAAATAAAATAGAAAAACTAACCCCTTATGTTAGTAAAATAGAGGGACGAAATTCAAATTTAGAACTATAATAAGTTTTATATCTTTAGGGTGTCTTTGGTTCACGAAATGTAAGATTACCAGTGGGAATAAAAGATTATCAGTGGAATTAAAAGATTACCAGGGAATAGGATTATTGAGAATGTTGTATTTTGTGTTTGGTTGATTTAGTAGGAATGTAAGATTACTGTGTTTGGTTAAAGGAATAAAAGATTATTAAAATGTATATTTTACCAAATTGTCCTTATTATATATATGTTTTTTAACAAGTTGAATTCTACTATAATATTACTAAATTAATTTATATATTTTCTTTAAAAAAATTAAATTCATAAAATTTATATAATTTTTTTTATAAAATTGTAAAGATAAATAGGTTTAATGAAAGGGTAAATTTTTATTTTAACCCCTGAACTTCATATAAAATTATAATTATGGAATTTTTTTATAAATCTAAAATAATTTAATGATAAATTTGTAATTTAACATTCGTATAATTTTTATTATTCAACGACAGAATAAGGATAATTTTGAAAAAAAAAATTAAGAATATTTTAGTCCAAAACGCCAATAATCCAACAATACCTAAGAAAATAAATAATCATATTCCCAATAATATACCCAAAAAATTTATTGTTGATAATAAAAAATTACCAAAAATAAAATTATCGCTTATCCAAATGATTCCATTCCTAATGTTGTATGCATGAACCAAACGGCCATTTGTAATTCGTGGCACCCACTTTGCCAATAGGTAGTCACGTGTACCATGCGACCCACTCGATCCTCCTGCCGTCAAATCAAATGTTGTCCACCGAGCTATTGCTGTAGGACACGTGGCTGAATTATGTTCATCTTGCTTATCAGATCACAACGAAGAACAACAACAGAAGAATCATAAAGCTTTGAACTTTGCTGATTTCCCAAACTATAAATCCATGTGGAGATACCCAAAGTCCACAAATTTAGGGGAAAGATTATAAAAAAGATGAAGAAATGGTCTGGGAGAGAGATGAAGTGTGTCAGTTCTATAAGAGATTCGTAGGGTTTAGTGTTAGTGGCTGGAAATTATTGATAAAGAAATAATACAAATTCATTTCTTTTCCTTTGATTCATATGGTGTATAGATTCTAGGGTTCTTGTTTTCATTCATTTTGTTTAGTTGTTGGCATCAAGCAGCTGCCCATAAAAAAAGTTGGTCTATGCTCTTCGCAAGACTTTCGATTGTAATCGATTTATGTTTTGATTATGATTTGTGTATATATCCATCTCTTCTTACCATTGATTCTTCATTCCTTTTCTACTTTGTCTTTTTGACACAATTCTTTTACACATTTGTTGTATATTTATCCAAGAAATCAGTGAGTTGCTACCAAAATACAATGCTGCTACCAAGATTTGATGAACATAATCATACTAATTGAAATCACAAATCAACAAAACAAATCAAAAACACATAATGGTAAATCTTGTGGTTTGATAATTGATTCGTGCCAAGTCGAGCGACACTGGCGGATCACGAATCAACCCTCGGCGTACAAGTTTGAACCCCAAACAAACTGCAATAGACTTAAAGTTCAAAACTGGACTGACAGCACAAATACAAACTTGGACCAACTTCTCCAGTTCAATCATTTTGAGCCAAGAGCAAAAGACAACTTCGGTCGCAATTTGTTCTTTCCAAGTAATTTCATCTGGTTCAAACGTTCTTCCTCCTCCTGTTGCTTCTTCCTCTTCATTGCCTCTTCCTTTTGTCTTTGAAGCTCCTCTAGCTCCCGATATCTTTCCTCCTCCCTCCGCTGCTGTTCCAGTGCTTCCCTTCTCTGAGCTTCTTCAACCTTCTTCCGGTTCTCTTCGAGCATCTTTTCTAACTCCTCTTTCTCTTTTCGAACTTGCTCCTGTAAACAAAATCAGTCAAGATTGATCATGAAATGACAGGAAATAGTTACAACTATAAGCTAGAAAGAGAAAAAAAAATCAAATAAACACATTACCATATATAGTTGAATTGAAGCAAACATCAATAGACAAGAAATCACATGATTTTGTCTAAGATATTTACCTCTTTTTGCCTAGCCTCAAAAAGGGCCACTTCCTTTTCTTTTTCAAGTTGAGCTGCAACTTCGTCATTAAGTCTTCTCCGTCCCTCCTCTAACCGCTTATGAATTTCCTGCTTGATTTCCTCAGAATTTAAGCTCTCTTCGACTTTTTTCTGAATCACTTCTTCCACTCTTCTGGCAGTCTCTTCTTCTATGAGTTTCAATTCTGCTTCTTGCTGACGCCTGGAAAACAAAAGAAATGTCAAGCAGGAAAATGAAACATGCATTTGGGGAAATATGCTGCAACCTTTCATTACAGATATCTTTCCAAACCAGAAAACAGTACCCAAAAAAAAAAAACAGCTAACATGTCACGTTTGCTTTTTTCTTCTTTCTTTATCTCACCATCTGTCTGGATGCATTATGTATCTATAATAAATGGGCAAACTAACCTTCATGATGACAAAGGCACTAAATTATGCTATGCTTTTAAGGCATACCTCTAATCAAACCTGATCCAAACAAAAGAGTTACAAAAAACTGGTGAACAGTAGAGAAAGGTGCATCCAATCAGATCATATATATATTAAAAAATTGAATTATAGAAGTATCTTCCTTCAGAAAATCCTGTGGAGAAGAATATCAAGTAACTTGCTGCAAATTTATAACTAATCACTATAATTAAAACTCAAAGTATGCTTTTTGACGAGAAGAGTTTATATCCTTTTATAAACACCATCCATTACACCATCCTTTTCAATGGATGGTGAACAATATGCAACTAAAAACATTTAGTCAGAACAGCGCTTTCACTGTAATAACAAAACCAACAGACATAAGATGCTCGGACAGTACAGACATTTCTCTTAGTTTTCTATAAAATGCAAGCACATAAATAACTCTCTCCCTCCCTTTGTCTCTCTCTCTGATCTTTTCTTCGTATGTTCCGTGGAAGTAAAATTGCACGAGTTGTACAAAGTAGCCGCACAGAACACAGACTGTAAGCTAGGTACAATGCATCAAAATTACGGTAAGGTAAGGGGGTTTGTGTACATGCAAATAACATTCTTTGCCCATCAGGAATGAAATTAAGGCCAGGAAAAGAGTTCAGAGTTTTGCAAGACCTAACAACCCACATGTCTCCCATGTGATTTGTGGTTATGTCATCCTAGTAAACCAAATATCATAATGTTGTGAAAAGAACTACACAATAATATATCAGCTTCCACCAGAGTCGTGATTCCATAGCACAATGTGAATAAGACCCAAATATCAACAAAATAAATAAGTATTGAACATGAATCAAAAGTTAAGAAAATTCAAATAAAAGAAGAGTGGATATAATTCAAGAAGATCTACAAGAACAGCTGAAAGAAAAATTAAAATAGCCTACATAAATTCAATATACCTTTTCTTCTCCTCCTCTTCTTTATTCAGTTTCTCACTAGCATTTTTGAGGTCTATTGACCCAAGATTTGGGCTAGATGATTTATGAGTAGGAGACAATGAAGAACTCCTACTTCTTTGCCTCTTATAACGCTTTGGAGTCGAAGAACGACTTTTATGACGTCCTGCAGTTGGAGAACGGCTTTTGTAGCGCCGTGGACTAATGGAACGACTCTTTCTTCTGTAGAGCAACACAAATTATTGAGAATTTGGGCATACTAGCTACACAAACTAAGAATCGGTAAAGCTCACCATCAAACATAATAATATAAAAGCATATACAGTTACCTCATACATTGTTAAGATAAGCATTGAGCTCCATCATTTATGACATGAAGAAGATAAGGTTACAATCAAGCAACGAAAGGAACCCATCGGCACCCATCACCTGCTCACTTCCCATCTCAAGTGACGGGAAAAAACTGTCTTTAATGTTCTAACGAAGAGCATGCTTCCTATCACTGTCATAGAGTTCTTTATACTTTGCTCCAAGTGATTTTGTATTTAGCATATATGATATTTCCAATTTACCAATCAAAAGGAAAGTTCCCCACATGTCAAATGCTCAGAGTTGATAATTTCATAGAAGATATTGAATAATACACCATAAAACATCATCGGAAGAATTCAGCTACACTTCTTTATAATGCGGGTGGTCATTAAACACAAATCTATAATCCTGAAGGTACTCAAAAAATCAGGCAGTGGTGCCAATCTGAACAGAGAAGTGCCACACGCATAACAAAACATAGACAACCAGAAGATTAAACCGCAATGTAAATGACACTGATAGCACCAGTCTAGAAAATGCCAACAGTACATCCTCAACTGCAGCAGCACCTTCAATTTGACGCATTCAAAAATATAATAGCCACTTGTTATCAAATTCTTGTCCGAGATCCAATTCTAGAAAAGCAATCTACATAATCTTTCCAGTAAATCCGAAAGAGAACCAGAAGATGTACAAATAAGTAGCTTACAAATAAACTTGAAGAATTTATAATTCCAATCCGAAAACAAATTCCAGAGTTCCAGCCTTTCTTACAAAATTCCTTACAGTATCTTGTATGTCAACAAATTAACACAAACAACATGAACATAAACGGGATCACCTGCTATAAGAATAAGATGAATATGGCGACTGGCTTCTGTCCCTCCGGCTCCTCCTCCCATGCTTGTGCCTTACAGGAGACGGCGAATGTCTACGCCTATACAAGGGCGACCGAGACCGTGATCTTGACAAATCTCGAGGCATCTGCTATCAGTTAATCACATCAACGTTATGAAATATCTGCTTTTTTATTTTTCAAAATCACAACAGATATACAAACGTTTCTCCTGCAAAATTAAAATATTTATAGCTAGTTCAATGAAACTAAAAGGAATAAATCTGGATTCATCGTTCTTAGTCAAATTGACTTGAAAATGCAATATTGCTAATCGGGAAAACAAAAATTATCAGCTTAATAGATAAGATTTTGTTATTAACATGCTTTTCTTATTCTCTCAAAATTTTCCAGGACTTTCTAGTTAAACAAACAAAAGGAAAGGAACGCAGATGAATTTAATACGATAGAATAAACCCTAAGCAGACCAACCTGCGGACGAACACCGAAACCTTAAGAAACCTCAATTTACATGAAATTGACATACAATAGTTTTTAAAAAACCTAAATCATATATATAGCAAATCAAAACCAAACCCTAATTTGGAGCAATTTGGTAAATAACATGAACGCAAAGTAAAATTAGAAAGGGAATTTGTTGAATAATCTATTATAATTATTAGGCATATTGAGCGAATGAAAATTCAGTACCAGTAATTTGGTTGAATTTGATGAAATTATAACTTCAGATAAGAAAGGTTCTGCGTTTGCTTTCAATAGCCTTTTAGGTATAATTGGGAAGAACATAACATCATATTTTTATAGGTAAACTATCTTTTCATCACTCAACTTTAATCATATTTTTAATTTAGGTACTCATCTTTTAAAGTTTTCAACTTGATCACCTAATTTTCATAATACTTCTATTTTTGTCACAAACATTAAATAAATAAATAATAATGACACGTATTATTTTATGATAATGTGAACTGCATTTTGTAAAATATTTCTAGTTTTAGTTTTTCCTCGTAAAGATAAAACTTCAATAACGATATAGGAGTAAGTGATTAAAAGTTTTTAATTAACATATTTTTTTTGGGTCGTAGGTTAATATATATTAAGAGTAAAATTCTCTTTTTCCCTCTCTTTATATCAAAATTTTTAAAAAAATATACAGTTTTAAAATTTTATTTCTATATCATGTCGATATTAAAAGTTTTATTCTCTTATATCTTTCTTGATTAGTTAAAAAACTATTAAATTCATCTCATCGTCTCTTACTAATTTATTGGTTTACATTTTTTTGTCGGTTAATGAAACTCAACCTGAATTTAAGAAGAAAAAATGAATTTAATATATAATTTTCATCAATTAATCAATATGAAATTATGATAATTCATCTCATCTTACTCTACTTTTTCGTTGTTGGATGTTGAATAAGATGGTGTTTTTCCCGAAAAATCACTAGTGATCGGTATATTTATCGATCTAACACCGGTCAGATGGTCTCTGGTCCACTCTATATCTTTTATCTGAATAATTATATATAGCGCGGTGCAGGTACCGTGTCTTATATGGTTATAAATACCTCATCCACTGGTTAAGTTTCTCACATCTCCTCGCATCTCTCCTCTCAACTTATAAATTAATACAACAATTCCGTCAACGAGTAATAATTCTGGCAATATTCTCATATTTGATTTAGAAGTTCGTGCGATTTTTCATTATAAGATAATTTTGTTATAATTTTTAATTATACTTATTGTTTATTATCATTATTTGAAAAAAATAATTATACTAATTATTTTCAATTATTTTTTATGTTTGTAAAATTGAAAAACAGTAGCATACGTCGAAATAGTTTTGCGGTGCAGGTAATAATATAAAATTATATTATTTAAATTATTTACGTTGATGTGTAAAAAATTTATTGTGTTATATTTTCGTTCATATATAATTTATTTAATCAGGTTTGTTTTAGTTATTTTTTTGCAGATATAATATTGCCGCACTTTTAAACTCAAAGAATGGCGCGACTTTCAGCTATTGTTTATTATGAAGGTGAAATTCGAGAAGATGAAACCGGCGTTGTTTTCGTATCAAATGAGCGTGTTAAAATATCATTCAAGAGAAACATAACTCTTGAGGAGCTGATAACGAAGATTTCGAGGAAGATTCATGTTGGAAGTAGTAAAAGAATATCGTCGTTACAGTACAGATTTCCAACATCATTGTTGCCATTAACTTATACAGCTTTCGAACTTTCGAACAATGATGATGTTCAAATGATGGTTGAAGCTCAAAGTAATTATTTAGACGCCACTATTGAGATGTATGCAAATTTTGTTCAAGTGCGTGCTGTTCGGGGTCAATCATTAAACTGCCACTATGGGCTGGCTGAACAAGTTGACAACCCGACTACAGTAATGTGTAATTATTTTAATGCCATAATGGGGAGACATTCATCCGCAACTCCTTACGATATGTACCGAGGTGGGTCCACGAACAATCTGTATGGCAACACCGCGTCCAGTTCAAGGGGAAGACATTCATCTGCAAATTTCTTTGACCTTAATATGAAGATGTCATCGACGCAACAATCTGTGCAGTTTCTATTTGACACGATGGCTTCAAGCTCTAATGGGAGGCATTCGACTGCGAGCTTTTTCGATCTCAATGTCTATATGCCTTCTAGTGCAAGGGGAAGACATGCAAGTAGTAGGTTCTTCGACCTAAATGTGGAACGCATGGAGGAACCATCATCTCTACCATAAGAACCGCTTCGTGAGCCTAGTGCTGAGACTAGACTATTCATTCACTCATAATCATTGCAATTCAACTCCGATGATGATGATGTAGATGAAGTTCTAGGAAATGTGACACAAACTGACCCTCCTGCACACATGTATGAAGCTGATTATGATGCAATGTACGGGCCAGAATTTGCGGATATGCCTCATCTCGGTGACTATGTATATTACTCATTAATAAATAATGGTGAGTTATCTTTATGCATGGAGTTTTCAAGCAAAGAAAAAGCGATGATGGCTATCAAAAATTATAATATCTGTAATTTTGTTCAGTCCAGAGTCAACCGATCAATGACCGAAAAATATGTATGCTACTGTGCTTGACGTGAAAACGGATGCAATTGGATGGTTCGCGTATCGAAAATGAAGAGGAAAAACAACATATGGGAACTAACAGTATACAACGGTCCTCACACATGTTGTGCTGGAGGGGTCAACTAAGATCATCCCAACTTGGAATCTGAAATGATATGCCAAGCCATCATGCCCATGGTAAAAGCAAGCTCTCATATAGTTGTTGAAGTGTTGATTTCAGCTACACAATCGCAGTATGGGTACATTGTCTCCTATAAAAAAGCTTGGTTGGCTAAACAAAATGCAATTGTCAAACTTCATGGTAAATGGGATGCATCTTACAACGAACTTCCAGGTTGGTTTAGGCTGGTACGGACGTTGAATCCTGGGATAATTGTAGACTTCAAAACCTCCTATGCATACCATAATGATCGAGTTCTTCGCGATCGAAGCCAATTCTACCGGGTTTTTTGGAGTTACCCACAGTGCGTTAATGTTGCCAAATACTGCAAGCCTGTGGTCCAGATCGACGGGGCTTTCTTGTATGGAAAATACAAGCAAGTTTTATTATTGGAAGTTGTCCAAGATGGCAATCGCAACATTCTTCCAGTTGCTTTTGCTCTTGTCGAAGAAGAATATACAGGTTCTTGGGCTTTTTTCCTCCAAAATTTACTTGCACATGTTATCACGAGGGAAAACAACTGTGTCATTTCAGATCGCGGAGCTGGGATCAAAGAAGCAATGGAGTCTTTGGGTCCAATGTGGTAACCACCCTTTATCCAACATAGGTATTGTCTCTAACACATTGCTGCGAACTATCATGGAAGGTACAAGAAGAATGATGAGCATCAATTAATTGTGCGCATGGGTAAGTGAAAGCAAGTTAGTAAGTTATACATTTTTTGATCATTTTAATTTTGCAAAGAAAGCAAGTTAGTAAGTTATACATTTTTTGATCAGGTTACGAACTACTTCCTCGAACGTTTAAATCAATGCTTCAAGATTTACGGGTGAAGAACGAGGAAAGATACGATTACATCAGCCTCATCGATAAAGAAATGTGGACGAACACATATGATGGTGGATATCGATATGGACACATGACGACCAACTTGGCTGAGGCAATCAATTCAACCTTAAAGGGTGCATGTCATTTGCTTGTAGCGGCTTTGGTAAAAACTATATATTTTCGTTTGGGGACTCTTTTTGTGAAGCTCGGGGGACAACCTCAAACCTGAATGCAAGGCGGTCATGTCTATCACCCTAGATTAGTTGCAGATCTACAGAAAAAAATTGCTGCATCAAACGGAATGTTTGTAACAAGCTTCTCTAGAAGGCATGAAATGTTTCGTGTCACAGAGTTGCCGCGGCCTCTTCAAGGGATTGAAGTTGTGTCATTAAGAGTAAATATAAGGGACAGAACGTACGACTGCGGGTTTTTTCAAGCTCTGAAGTATCAATGCTCTCATGTGACAGCAGCTTGCTCGCACACACGTCAATACTATAACCATTTTTTGGATATCATATACCTACTATCTGAAGTTTTTAAGGTATATGAATTTGAGTTTCCCCCCGTATGTAATGACAAAGACCCTGATGAGGTTCAAGATTGGCTTCCGATTGTACCAAATCCGAGTTTATTGAGGGAGCGTGGTCGTCCAAAATCCAATCGAATTCATTGCAATATGGATATTCGAGAAAGATCTAGACAAGACAGAAGATGTGGGCATTGTAGAAACCCAGGACACACGAGAAAAACATGTCCACTTCTGTTGTCATCAAGTAACAATTGATGAGGAAATGATGTATTTTTTATCAAATAATAATTCTTGTACATTAATTTGCATTTACTTCAAGTTAATGATAACTAAATTGGTATTTGAATATAATTTTAAATACAACAAACTTACAATAAGTATTAAATGGTAAATGATAACCAAAATACAATAACTGATATTAAATGGTAATAAACAAAATTAACTGAAATACATTTAAAAAAAATCCAACAAATCTACAAAATAAAGTAAGTATTAAATGAGAAATA